CCCCAAAACCCCAAAACCCCAAAACCCCGTATAAGGAAAGATACGTTGAATTCTTCAAATCAATTATTTTAAGAATGCTTAAGCTAACCTTCTCGTTAAGATACAAAGGATTACTTCTCTTTATTGGATGTTGCTTAGGCCAGATTATTGGCACGGAGAGAAGCCTTGCTGTTTCATCAAGCCAGTCAGATTGAAAGACTTGTGTCAATAATGGCTCTCAGAGGTGGTGAGCTCCTGTTGGAATTACTCAAGCTGATGGAGAGTGCTGAAACTCGGGCGATACCTCAGGCTATTGTGCAAGCAGTGATAGCTATGCTTGTTCTGGGTCCACCAACATCCAGGGTACTGCAGGGCTGATACTTTGCCCAGAGGTTAATGCAAAGTGTGGAGACACCCACTCCTTACTTCAGAATACTTATCGGTATTGGTCAATAGTGGTAAGATATCTGCCTTCTGATGCAGTATGAGCTGAAAGGTTTTATACGACTACAAGCTCTATTGACCAGGTTAAGATCACAATGAGTAAGCGCTAAGTCAATTCTTCTCAGGTTTCATTATATTAGCAGTTTAGCTTGATCTATTCCTAGTGTTTTTAATCTTTTCTTCTGTGTTCTGCTCTTTGCTTCGTAAATTACAAACTGCTCACCTTCCCTCTAACCCATCCAAAAGTTCTTGCTACCTCTAAATGCCCACTCCACAGGCTCCTGTTGCCCAATACCCCAATACCCTTCCTCCACTCATCTCCTTTCTGTCCCAAACCTGACTAATTTATCCTGAAATTTCCAAATTCTGTGCATAAAAACTCCTTTTCTTGCTCTGAATGCTGAAGACCTGAGAGCTTCCCTAGGCTTTGTTTGGCAAGATTAGGGACTTAGAGAAGGAATTGAAGGGGTTTGGAAGCATCTAAAGGACTGTGGGAAGGAATTTGGGGATGGAAGTTTTGTTCTAGTTTGTTTATCAGAAATTTTGGATAAAGTTTGGGAAAAGGATTTGGAGAGAAGAAGGAGTTAGGGTGGTAATAGAAGGATCTTTAAAGGGTGATAGTAGAAGAAGCTTTGAAGGGTGGAGGTAGAAGAAGCTTTAAAGGGTGGTAGCTTAGTGGAGGGTTGAGATAGGGATGAAGTAGATCTTTTGTTTATTTGAGCAAACTTTTCACCAAAATTTTTACTATAGACAGCATATCTGGGGCGACTGCAACAGTTTATAAAGCACCGAGAGGAGAAGCAAACTATACCTTGATAGGTACACTGAATGCAGGCTATATAGCTACAGTCTCCTTCAGTCCCTCAGTTGACGTTTATGTAGTGATCAACCCGTACTCTCCCACTATTAGATACAATATAACTGCTATTGGCGCAATTGCTCCTGTCCCCAGTAATCCTTCAAGCTCGTCTGGCTCCAGTGGGGGTGATGAGATCAGCAAAGAGTCAAAGACAGATTTGACTGCCTTATGGATTGTCTTAGGTGTTGTTGGAGGACTAGCTTTCATTGCTATAGGTATTGTTACCTTCATTTGTATCTGGAAGAAAAGCAAAGGAGGTGTTCACTACCCAACCCCAACCTAAATACCACTTCTGCCAAAATGACCCATATCGGCAGCACCTTCCAAACAGCCCATCCTAAAAAACACCCAGAACCATAAACCAGAAGTTAAGCCCGCCCATAAGTTTTATGAACAATTTTAGTTAACATTGGAGAAGGGGTGGGGGAAGAGAGGGTAGATAATTTTCAATATTGGGGATGGAAAGGGGTTTTGGGGTTTTGGGGTTTTGGGG